ATCTATTGGAGCAGCAGACCTGACCTGTTATCAGTAGATGTGCACATAATCTTGACACAGTTCCCATTAAATGTGTCTACTTGACCAAATAATTGTAGACCAAATGCGTAGAAATGCTAAGCAATTTAGGCAAAAACTGTTAATTTGCCTCTATTGTATAATGTGCAACAATATTAGGGATTTTTCAAAAAAAAAAACTACTAACAATAAAAACTAGTTGTTGCAATTTATATAGGAACTATTAAAAAAAAGAAAACTGGACAGGATAAGTTTGAAAATTTGGTTTAATCAACAATGGTTCGATCAATGAACATAAACTTTTTAAATAAGTATCTAAACTAATTTGAAATGATAGAGGTTGAGGGGTGGGTGTTTGAATTGGAGTGTTTGTCTCTCCTTCTCCATTGTGTAATGCTTTCAGTGTTGTTATATGGGTACATGGGGAACAGAATGTAGGATGGGGTGAGAAATTAAATATTGTTCCAGACTTTGGCACCAATAAAGAAAAAATCTTCCTGAGCCAGAGTGTTAGCTTTTTACTGATACCAATTACTGAAATGTTTCGAACATATACCTTGTGGTAAACTCAGATGTATTTTGGGCATCAGAACCACATTGAAACCCAGTAAAACTGATCCGATTGAACCAACAAACCAACGTAATGGAGCTGAGTGGAATCTGAGGGGCTCTCTGGAAAACCATCGGCTGCTCCAGTTTTTAGGTAGATTTTTAGTCTAGCGACATGCACTCACTCTCGCACGTGAAAACACACAAACACACGCAAATTTGCAGCTAATTTTTTTTTCACATTTTCTGTCTTACTTTGAGGRCACAATTTGTTCCTGTCTAAAGACCCAGAAACAAAGACAAAGAATGAGTTTTAGAAAGAGAATATGATTGTGTTATTCCATAGTCAGCCAGTGCAACGGAAACCAATAATTGGAACACAGTGTAAAAAAGCGTATTAGAGAAACTCAGCCACAAGGAAGCTGACCTTCCCTTTCAACAAAGGCTGTGGCACTGTCCCTTTTTTTCCTACCCAAGGGACTGCTTTAATCCCTTAGTTTGTGTAAGTTTGTTTAGTTACTTCTTTGTTTTGATTGATTGAAGCGTCCATCGCCTCATAGTGTCTCACATTTTCCTCTTTGTGTTGCTGAATGTCTGCAGGCACACAACTCCAGCCGTTTGCACAACCGTTGCAGTACTTTTCCACAACAGTTGCCATGGTGAGGGATTCCCCCACCATTCCCACAAAACTAGCATCCCGCCTGGCAGCTCCGTCACTCCTCGTTGGCTGGGCTGTCCTCCAGTGGCGCGATCGTGGGAAGGCCCAGCCCCGTTGCATTGTGGGATGCGGTGAGGCTGGCAACAGTGTGTAAAAGTACAAGGACCAGCAGGCAAAGTTTGAGCCGGCTGTTACACAGTCTGCAGGCTGCCGAGGAGCTCAGCGAGTTTCGATGCTGGCATGGTGGGTGAGTTCTTTTTAGGGTTCCCCTGGATCGGTTGTCCACTTTCAAGTCCCACCGCACATCACAGCACTCTGCATCTGGGTCCACACCTGATGGAAAGTCCTCCAGCAGCCCTGAAAACATTCAGAAAAGAAGGTTGGGGAAGTTTGGAGATTTAAAAAAGGCAATGGCTTTGGAACATTTTCTATTATTA